AATTTGGTTTCTCTCACTGGAGAATACTTGGTTTACTTAATTCATTAAATACTTATGTAGAAATGAGAGAACTTCTGTTATGCTAAGATCTGGCACACTTGTGTACATTCACCAAATTTTGATTTTTCATGGTCTTTTGTTTTCTCCACGTCTTCTTGCTACTTGGCCATATTTGGATTGTTTCTTTTAGTTGATGGGAGCAAAATTCCTCTCCCAAATGATAAAAGAAGCAAAACCCAATTTATTTTTCTATTTTTATATTGTCTAATAAAGTATTTGATCAGTGAATTAAAGTAGATGCTAGCCTTCTAAAAGAAACCCAAGTAATTTAAGATTATTTTCATTTTTTTAAAGATTTTATTTATTTGAGAGAGAGAGAGAGAGCAAGCGAGCATGAGTTGAGGGGAAGGGCAGAAGGAGAGAAAGAGGGAGAAGTAGACTTCCTGCTGAGCATGGAGCCCTGGGGAGGGGCTCCAGACTTCAGGTTGTAGGACTCCACATAGGGCTCCATCCCAGGACCCTGAGATCATGACCTGAGCTGAAGCCGGATGTTTAACCAACTGAGCCACCCATGTGCCCAAATTAGATTATTTTTTATCATACTTGAAAGCCTAAAAGTGAGGGGCCTAGGCTCTTAGAGCAACTTTGCTCCATACTGTTATTCAGGGACCTAGTTTCCTACTGTGTTGTTACTCTGCTCTTCTTTAGGAAGTTGTCATTATGTGCTTGGTTGGATTTGGGTCATCACCACATCTGCATTCCAGCCTGTGGGAAGGAAGGAAGTAGAGGGCAAGCAGTTTCCTTTTAACCAAATGACCCAGGGCCTGCTCATATCACTTCTGCCTTCAGTCCACTGACAAGAACTGCAAGAGAGGCTAAAACTATATGACTCCGGAAGGATGAAGAATGAATTTTGTAGACTGCCAGAGTGGGCTAGCAAATTTAAAACTACTGGCCAGAAATAGACATGAAGATGAACTACACATTGTTTTATTTACAATACTAAAATACTTGAAGAGCACAGGAATTAGGAGCTAACTAGAGAATTTAATTCATGCGTATTCATTAGTTTTTATTTTTTATTTATTTATTTTATTTTTTAAAGATTTATTTATTTATTCATGAGCGACACAGTGAGAGACAGGCAGAAACACAGGTAGAGGAAAAAGCAGGCTCCTCACAGGGAGCCTGATGCAGTACTCGATCCCGGATCCCGGGATCACACCCTGAGCCGAAGGCAGACGCTCAACGGCTAAGCCACCCAGGTGTCCCTATTCATTAGTTTTTATTCCAATAGTGAATCTTTGAATTTCCAAAGTTGTCCATAGAGTAACTCTATGGAAACTTTCAATACTGCAGCATTTTAAAACCCTAGTTTCTTATATTTAAGGAAAATCTTTTCAGTGTCTTACACACACAAAATGGTGGTAGAGATTGTGCATTCACCCACAATCACCTTAATAATTCATTTATTTTCTATCAGGAACTCTAATCAGATGGAGGTGTAAAGAAGCAGAGCGCTTCTTCTGAGCTTCAGAGGCACGTCACTATGATCTAGGATCTTTTTTAAATTGGATAGGCATGGAATCAGAAACCTTCCAATATATCATCACTCAGTTCATTGAGCCAAAGATTTCTTGGAAATTGGAACATGGTTGAGATAGATACATACATCGGTTGTTTTATTTTTATGAGCTACAAGTTGGCATAAATGATAATAAAACGACTTTTTAGAAAGTGACTTAGGCCAGCACATCTAAGTCAGACCATGTCATAAAATTCAGAAATAATGTTATGGCCACTGAAATGGGGTTTATTGAGTCTTAAAAGTAAACTCAGTTGTTTTCATTTCATGTGTGTATGTGTATGTGTGTGTGTAATTGTGTATGTGTAGCTAGCTAGCTACAGAGAGAACCTAAGAGAATTTGAGAGAACTCTAAGGACTGTCAGAATGCTTCACGAGAAAATGTTCCTGTCCTATCTTCATCTTCACTAGAACTGTGCCTTTAATATTCCGTAAATCGCTGAAGTACAGTCTTTCCAGTCATTTACAACTACCAACTCTGCAGACAGTTTGTACAGCAATAGATTGTATGCTGTGGAGGACACAAATGCATACTGCATGATCCCTCAAAGAAGTTTTCATTGTAGTTGGGTGAGACTATAATACACATTAAAAAAAAAAGTACATGAAGCAAGTTCTTCAGATAAAGGTGTATAGGTAGATACACATAACTGGAACCTATGAGCTGGCTATTAGAAGGTAGTATACAATTAATTTATACAAGTCCAAAGAAAATAAGAGTAACTTTGGGCCAGAATCATTGGAAAGATAGTCTTCATGTAAACTAGATTGATAGAAGGAAGGCGCTTTTAGAGGAAGAAAATGTAGTCAGCAAAGGTATATAGATTTAAGTTACATATCACATACTTGAGAAACAGTAAAACAGGCTAATCTGGCAAACATGGAAGTTATACATAGAGATAAGGCTAGACTAGCATTTCAAGGTCAGAGTATAAAGCATTTCTTAAAGCCAGGATAAAAAGTTTGGATTTTTTTTTTGTTGAGACATTGGAAAGCATTGAAGGTTTCTGAGTAGAGGATGTTAGAAGTGACTCCTTAGACTAATCTGGTAACTGTACAGAGCAGGGTGAAGGAATTGAGGGAAGGAGTGAAGGGAGCCCATTAGAAAATGATTGTAAGAATGGAGACACGGCATTGAAGGACCCTGAGAGGAGCAAGATTGAAAAAAGAAGAGATGGATTAGAAAGACATTACCTGGGCAGCCCGGGTGGCTCAGCAGTTTAGTGCCACCTTCAGCCCAGGGCCTGATCCTGGAGACCTGGGATCGAGTCCCGTGTCAGGCTTCCTGCATGGAGCCTGCTTCTCCCTCTGCCTGTGCCTCTGCCCTTATCCTCTCTCTCTCTCTCTCTCTCTCTCTCTCTCTCTCTCTCTCTCTCTCTCTGTCTCTGTGTGTGTGTCTCATGAATAAATAAATAAATAAACATTAAAAAAAAAGACATTACCTCAACGATGTCAGGAGGGTATACAAATCATCAATATCTGAGGTCATTTCTTCTTTGTACAATGAATTTTTGTTTGTTTTAATGAGAAAAGGGGAGAAGACTTAAATGGAGTCTGTAGAAGAAAGATTTAGAAATGTCCTCGCAGTTGCCAGGAGTATTGAGTATGAAGTAATATTGGAAAGTTAAATGAAAATGCACACTAAGTATTAGAAGATGAGAAGTGATTGATCTGGAGGTACAGATGTAGAAGTCTTGTGCCTAGAAGTGATAAATGAAGCCAAGGAAGTAAGAAGTGTGAATAAGTTAAGGAAGGGAGTGGGAAAAGAGATCACTGAGATGAATTTCCATACCTGATGGAAGGACATGCCTTCAAAGAAGATGATGATAGTGCATTCAGAAAGGTACAGAGAACCAACAAAGCCAGAAAGGGGAGTGGCCAAAGACATAGACAAGAAGCCTTTAGGGGTAGAGAGACCAAGAGATTTTCAGAAAGGAGAGATGGTCAAATGCTATCTAGGTCAGGGAGAACAAGAACCAATAAGACATTGTATTTGACTATGAGGGAGGCAAGGCAGGGAGAGAGACAGGCACAGACAGACACATTCCATTTATCTAATGCTTACAATGAACAGTCACTGTGGTAGATTCTTTTGCATCCATGATTTTATTTCTTCCTTGCTTTTTTTTTTTTTTAAGACTTTATTTATTCATGAGACAGAAAAAGAGAGAAGCAGAGACATAGGGAGAGGGAGAAGCAGGCTCCACGCAGGGAGCCAGACGTGGAACTCCATCCTGGGTCTCCAGGTTCATGGCCTGGGCTGAAGGCAGCACTAAACCGCTGAGCCACCCTGGCTGCCCCTTATTTCTTCCTCAAAGTAAGATCGTGTCCTCCTTTTTTTACATAAGGAAACAAATGCAAAACTTACATTTTCTGGGTTCAGGATTCAAACCCAAGTCATTGACCTTTTTGCTATATCATGGAGAAAATCATCTGTAAAACCAATGGGCAAATTTTGAACTGTGGTCTGCTGTTGTCTTTTGAATGTTGCCAGGATAAAGAGAATCATTCCAGTCTAGTGCCACCCAACACCAGCTGTAAGGATTTTTTGGCTCTATTCTCAGAGAACTGAGGTTTGGAGTCTTTAAAGACAAGACACTTATAAGGTCAAACCTGGTTCCAGAAACTCAAGAGGCTTGACTCAGCTCTCATGCTCTTTCTATTCTTTCATACTTTTTCTTCTCAGAATTAACAGGTGGCATTTGTAAAAGTCTCACAACGACAACTAGAGCTCCCAAGTTTGTTCTCTGGGATCTCAGTATCATTTCAAATAGGTAGTGCCTACTGTTAAAATGCCTGTGACAAACAGTAAGTACCTGAGGAAGTGAAGCTGATTAATTTTAGTTTGATAACCTGTGAGTCTCTTTCCCTTTTAAATAATTCAGTCAGATGCCCTGGCCAGGAGGGTATACAAATCATCAATATCTGAGGTCATTTCTGCTTTGTACAATGAATTTTTGTTTGTTTTAATGAGAAAAGGGGAGAAGACTTAAATGTAGTCCTCCTTTATATTCTTTTCAAATGATTTCACATAGAGAATCTTTAGCCTTGTTTTTATTTAATTTACCTTGTAGGGGGGCTAGAAAATGCAAATACACAAGTTCAACATGAACTAGTACTTATTCTCAAGGACAAATTATTACCTGAGGGAGGGGAGGATTTAATTCATACAGTAAACAAAGCAATACAACTCAAAACCCAAAACTCCTGTATACATTGGCATTAAACAAAGATAGGAGAAAAATCTGCTTAACTTTCCTTAATATCTGAAGTATGTTTTTATAACCCACCTATTTCATTCACTAGCTCATCCCACCCGCTGCTGCCTGTGTATTTCATAACTTACCCTTTTAAGGTATTTGATAACTAAGACCTCCATTTATGGCTCACCTATGTTGCTTTGTGTCTGTTCTAGACCTTTGATGAGTGTGTAGCTGAAGGTGGCTCAGACTGTGCTCCGGAGAAGCTCTGGCTTCAAATCCCATTCTTCTGTGGCCACAGCTCGGAATGCTGGTAGGGACATAGCTTAAGTTGATAATCTTCTTTATTATCTCTGTATTTTGTATTTTGCAAGTGTGAACATACTAGTCAAGGGCTAGATATAGGGCATTTAGTGAAAGACCGGATTAAAAATAGCATGTAATTAAATATCTAGTTTTATAGTTACCTTTAAGTGCACAGAAAAGATTCTTCATACATCATATCCTTGCAGTGTTTTCACAGATGCTGGTTTTTAATTTATTGTTTTTGGTATTGCCATGTTTTTCTATATTCCAGCAGAGCTCTTAATTAGAGGCCAGGGGTCATTTCATAAACCTCATTTTCTCCTAAGCTTATTGTTTTAGCCATTCATTTTAGATCAAGAAAAGGCTTAGTGAGTACATTATTCACCTGGTTTTACTGTTAACTGATTTTTTTACCTTGAGAAAAGCCAAGGTTATGGTTTAGTCTGCTAATAAACGTGAGGTGGAAAATAAATTTTATCTTTAAGGAAGAGTTTATTTCCTCTGAATGTGCAGTTTTCAGTTTTTAAAAAATAGTACATGTTTATATATATTTATTTGTTCTAATCATTTTAATAGGAAAAGCAGAAAGAGGAACACATTCAAAGTTAGTATCTCTTCCTTAAAACCATGATGAGACATGCAAGGAATGCCTTAATTCTTTTCCTCATTATATGAAACATGTTATTAGATCATTGTGAACTGTAAGGTCCTACTCAGTAGACTATATCAGATCATAATAACAGCATAAAAATAATTGGAATCATAGGAAGAACATCTCAATTTTTAATCATTTCCTTAGAACAGGGATTGGCAAATTACAACCTGGAGACCAAATTTGGCTGATCACCTGTTTTTTATAAATAAAGTGTTATTGGAACACAGCCATCTCCATTTATTTACTTCTTGTCTATGACTGTATTCATGCTGCAAGAGCAATGTTAAATATTTGTAACCAAGAACATATGGCCTGCAAAACCTAAGATATTTACTCTCTGGCACTTAACAGGAAAAAGTTTGCCAATCCCCGCCTTAGAGCAATAAAAGGGTACTGCTCTTTTGGACGTTAGTGAGGTGATTTTAATTGAACTTCTTTAGTATGTTTCATAGATTCATAGAACTGGGAAGGACCTTCGAAATCAAGTAATTTACTCCCCTCCCACCAAAGACATTAATAAAAGGACATTAAGATTTTGGATGGACATGTGCTTATTTTCTCCATAGTATATAGTGTCAGAGGCATCAAAAATACTTAGTAGATTTCACAACTAGGTTTTTAATTCCTTTTCTTTGGTTTTAGGAATGTGGGAAGCAGGTGGGCTATGGATCAAGCCAAGTATAACCTAATTAATGAATACTTTCTGGTGGGAGTTACTGAAGAACTTGAAGATTTTATCATGTTGCTGGAGGCAGCTTTGCCCCGGTTCTTCAGGGGCGCTACAGAACTCTACCGTACAGGTACATAAAGGATGGGTTTCTTGTTAAAGCTGTCTTTAACTTTGTTTGTTTGGAACCTGAAAAATATGTGGGATTTGATGTTTCTTGCTTAACTCAAAGCACGAGAAATAACTGCAGAAAAGAAGGTATATTGCCTGTTTCTTCTTAACCATTTTCAATACAAAACAGTGTCTGCCACACAGCTGGTGTTCATTACATATTTTTTGAGCAAATTAACATGATAGTTAGAAGGCATTGTAGGGATAGTGGAAAGATATGATCTGCAGAACCAGCCTTAGTTAGAAATGTGTAATATTAGCTAATGCCAGACACCAAACATTATGACCATATTGCACCTGAGTCCTGCCTAATGCTGGTTAGAGTAATGATGGGATGGTGAGACTGAGTCCCACCCATGATAATCAGCATGTGCTGTGTCTGTCCTGGTGAAGTGTGCTTCAGCAGCCTTGACTGTATGACATATCTGGAAGTGACAGGGCTCTGGTCCAATCTAATGTGGATTTTTCCCCTGTTCTTTGGTAAGATACAATATAGTAACTCTTCGAGAGTATGCATATGCCCTACCTTCTAACAGGTTATGGTAAATTAGTATTAAGTTTGAAAGTAGAGATTCTATCATATTGAAAAATTAAACTAGTCAGAGCACCAAGTATTTGAGATTAGAACAGTATAGCATGAAAGGTGACAGCCTACACTTTACTGAGTGGTAATCCTTACTTTTAGTATTTGACATCTCTCTCTTTTTTTTTTTTAAGATTGTATTTTGTATTTATTTATTCATGAGAGACACAGAGAGAGAGGCAGACATAGGCAGAGAAAGAAGCAGGCTTCTTGCAGGGAGCCCAATGTGGGACTCGATCCCAGGACCCCGGGATCATGACCAAACGCAGACACACTCAACCACTGAGCCACCCAGACATCCCTCATTAAGTCTTTAACAGGTTAAGGATTTACACTATAAAGGAATAAATCACAGTTTTAGGGTTGCTTGGGTGGCTCAATCGGTTGAGTGTTTGACTCTTGGTTTTGGCTCAGGTCATGATCTCATGGGTCCTGGGACTTGAGCCACAAGTTGGGCTCCTCACTCAGCAGGGAGCCTACTTAAAAGATTCTCTCCCTCTGCACCCCCCCCCCCCCATGCTCACTTACTCTCTCTCTCTCAAAATAAATAAATCTTTTTTTTTTAAATGACACTTCTAGTATGATTAGGGTACCAGTTTTGCCTGAATGATATTAATGCAAAAACAGTTGTTAATGGCCTTCAGTGTGCCACATCAACTCAATCCATCTCTCCACGTAAAGAAGCATCGCTCTTTTGTGTGTTCTCAGAATTATTCACCTTTTCTTTTTTTCCTTTGTAAGTAGGAAAGAAATCTCATCTTAGGAAAACCACAGAGAAGAAACTCCCAACTAAACAAACCATTGCAAAACTACAGCAATCTGACATTTGGAAAATGGAGAATGAGTTCTATGAATTTGCGCTAGAGCAGTTCCAGTTCATCAGAGCCCACGCTGTACGGGAAAAAGACGGAGACCTCTACATCCTCGCACAAAACTTTTTCTATGAAAAGATTTACCCGAAATCGAACTGAGTGCCAGGTGTGACTGTTAGGTTCTTGAACTAAAACCTTGACCCTGTCTTCACCTTAGTACTCAGCTCCACAAATCGGGTTGGGGATCGGTGTGTAAGACCATGTGTATTGAGCCACGTTAGGGGGCAGTAACACGGAGGAAGTGGATACTGGCTGGTAAGTTTCAGTGGCCTAAGAGGTTTAAGTTTCTGCCTTTTTTTTTCTTTTTTTCTTTCTTTCTTTTTTCCTTTTTCTCCCTCCACCCCCCAGTTAAATTTTGGTGGGAGTTATAATTTCCTGCCTGGAAAAAGCCTACACATCACCAAAAATAAACACATAGCAGGTCTCATTGTAGGCTAAATACAATTTCAAAAAAAGTTCTGGTATTCTCTTTTTGATAAAGCTTTTTGTTTTTTTCACCTAACCATGAATGAAAATGAATCCATTTGCTCCTTCCACCTTCACCTGGAGGTTTGGGTTATACACCTCTACTGAATAGTGTTACTAACTGTTTGGCAGTGTGTGCTTTGTTTCTGTGAATCATGTCTCATGAAATTTATTGGAATGTTTGATACTGTTTGCTAAGAATGTTTCTGCTATAGTTGGAATTGCCCACATTTATGTAGGTTGTTTGAATATTCTTAAAAAAAAAAAAAAAACCAAACCTGATCATTAGTGTTAAAAACCAATTTTAAAAGAGAGCAGTATTTCTCATTCCTGTCTCCCCTGTCTCTAAGACTGGGAAGACACTTCAAAGAATGTTGACACTTTCTGGAATTTTAGTTAAGGGTTCCATACATTAATATCAAAAAAGTAAGTTTAGTATTCGTTCCTCCATGGGTTATTTGTAGAGCGGTAAACTGACATATTGGTGACTCCATATTATGACTCATTAGTGAGCTGTGGTATGGGTAGGATTTCCCTACTTCTGTACTTTTACTTGTAGACTATTTTTACTAAGGTGCTTTATAATGTGTTTTAAAGCATTGCATTTACAAAAAAAAAAAACAAAGGAAAATGCTGTAAATATTGCATATTTTATGTATTTGGACCAAAAGGTTATAAGTAATTAGGTAAAAGTGGTTTTGCACCAGTTTTATTATTTCAAGTAAAATCATCAGACCTACTGTTCTTGTAGTTCTCGTTTAACTTTACTGTTAAGACATCACTGAAATGAACTTCAGTAACCTTTCAATTTTGATACACAGTACATTATTCATAATTGGGGGCAGTAGTCAGAGTGGAAAGAGTACTGGCCAAGGAGTCAGAAAATTTGATTTCTGGTCCCGGCTCTGCCACTTTCCTAGCTGTGTGATCTTGGGCAAGTCACTTAACCTCTCTTTGCCTCAATTTCCTCATCTTGAAATGAGGAGACTAATACCTGCTGTACCTACCTCACAGGGGTGTTGTGAGGAATAAACAAGACGGCACGTGAAGGCACTTTGAAAACTGTTAACACGCTCTAGAAAAGTAAGGGATGATGGAAACATCTTTCACGTATGGTTCCATAACGTTCATTTTTTTTTTTTTTTTTGGGACAAAGAAAGGGAAAAGTCCACTTCTAAGCTGGTTGGAAAAGTGGTTAATCTTGATATAAATTTATGTTTGATAAATATCTTCCGTGTTGTATCTTCCCTGTTTCAACAACTTTGGAAATAAGAAACACCTGTGAACTCTTAGATTCATGAACAGCTGCTTGAGTTCAGGAGGTTTGAGTTCTTGAAAAAGATTTCGTTAGCTGACTCAGGGCAGGGGAAAATGTACTCTTCAAATTTGGGAGATTTGTCTGTTTTTATTTTACATTGCCATTGAGAAATGGTAGCTATTTTATACCTCTGGGTTGTCAAGGTATATATCGCAGAGTTTAATTTCCCTGTACCGTCTTACCCTTCATAGAGTAACAGAGGTGAAGAATTTCAGAAACATTTCCTAAAAAATTTAATCTTTACTGTGTTTAGTTTAAATAAATACTGTTTCTGAACAAGGCCTCACCAAACTAGGCAAGTAAACATTTTAGGCAAGCTGCTGTAAAGGTTATTCATGGAAGGGGGGTGGAGGGAGCACTACTTATCAATCCATAAACAAATATAAAGAAAAGCTAAAAAGGAAGTTTCCAGAATCATTTAGCACCCTTTTCTCCCAGCAATTAGACAACATTAAGAGAACGTTGACAGGCATATAGTTTCCTTATCTGGCTTTCTGCTTTTTTTGTGTATTTATTAACTTTTACGGATATTTATGGGAAATTTATACAAATTATTCCCTTGCCCAAAAGGAAAGCACCACTTCACAGGTGGGTGTTTGACATTTAATCTGCTAAGGAACTCCCCAATATGCAGGTTATTCTTGGAGCACATGCTAAAATCTTAAGGTGCATTAACTCTTAGGAAACTAGAGTGGCATGCAGTACCCTACGTCATGAGTGCAGTAGACTTTTCCTGTAAAGGTCCAGAGGGTAACTGTTCTAGGCTTTGCAGTCTATACAGTCTCTGTCAAAACTACTCAACTCTGTCATTTTAACACAAAAGCAGCTACAGACAACACATAAATGAGTGAGCTTGGTTGTGTTCCAGTAATACTTTATTTCAAAGACAGGTGACAGGCCAGATAGGGACCACAGGTTGTAGTTTACCAACCCCCGTATTAGATCATTATTTATGGAGAAATCATTTTTTAAATCTGTATTCTAGTGACCGAAAAGAGTTTATATACTTCCAAAAGCTCCTAACTTATATCCAAAGAATAGCTTTCTTATTCAGGAGGTCTCTACCCCAGATTCATAAACTTTTATGACTTTAGATTGCTTCCAGGTGGGCATGTTTTCTTTCCCAGTTTAACAGTTCAGAATAGAGGCATTTATTCTATCATCTAGTAGGATTGGTTAAGGAGTATCCTTCCTTGAGACGGAGAAAGGGTTAGGTTTAATTCCATCTGGTCCAGTACAGTCCTAAGAGTCTGACGAGTGCAGAGTCCTCGTAATACCTAACTTTATAATAATAATAATTAAAAAAAATAGGACCACTGAGACAATAATGTATTTTTTAAAAGTGGCAAATGTGGTTTTCTTTTTTCAGCCTTTGCGCTTTTTCAGTATTTTGATCATAGGGAAATTCTTTTTTTTTTTTTATAATACAAAAGCAAATTAACCACTCTGAATTTTAAAAGATGATGTTATGTGTGTATGTGTGTGTGTGTGTATATAAATATATACATATGTTTATTTCCTAAAAGAGGAAAAAGTACTTTTTTTGTTCAACTTGTATCAACTCCTGTTTTCTAATTGCTGTGAAATGGCAACTGTTGATAAATTATTGTGACTGTTTTAAAATGTGATGGGGAGGATATATTTTGATTTTACGGAGCTTTAATCTGTAAAGTATCACTTAAATATATCTGATAGCAACACTTAAAATATTGCATGGGGATTACTTTTCTATCATCCATACCCATTTGTGCAACTTTGAACATATTGGGTGCTTTTGAATTCTCAATGATTGGGTTTAAATTGAAAATCAGAGAACTTAAACTTACTTTTAAACTTTAAATTTTATTTTCTATTCTTAAAATTCAGTTAATGCCTATAATTTGAAATCTCTTGTTGTTCTTTCTCAATATATGTCCTGTTGGAGATTCCTAAAATTGTTAGTGCCATCAGTGATTTACAAACAGTATTTTGATATTGCAGATGATTTGCTCATTGTATTTGCATAGTTAGAAAGAAAATAGTTTGTAGACGATGATTCTCTTTTTCTAATAAAATGAAATAAAAATTCTTAAAAGCGCTAGAGAATTTAAAGGCTGGTTCCCAAGTGCATAGCTGGTCTTTTAATTTATATTCAGATTCCACATAAAGAACATCTCCGTAAGCCATCTATCTAGGTTTTCCCACTGATCATTCTCAAACACACCTATGGTCCTAGAAGGCTTTATTAGGAGAAGTACCAGGCTGTACGGTACTGTAACCTTTTATGAAGTTTGTCTGTAAGAGGCCCAGGTGCTTCGACTTTATGCTTTGAAAATTTGCCTCTTCCTAAATTAGTGCTGTTTACTTTGAGAGGAAGCAGGGCAATTGCTGTGAGATTTTTGCATCTTTTTACCCTCGGCGGAATTGCTATACCTCGCCAACTATACTGCTGCTCAGGCAGCCTTTTGAGGGAAAAGCAACCCTGTTTCAAATGCACTGCCAATTCAGCTCCTCTGGAGTGGAGCAAGCTTTCTGATTTCCCGCAGTGGGAATTTTAGAGACTGAGATGGGCGATCGGTTAGTCAGATTTATCCTATAATTTAAGTTCATGCAGCTTTGTGACCTTTGCGGTACTATTTATAGAAGGACCGTGATGGTGATGATCTCTTTAAGACACATGACTGGTGAGCCTGTGATTTAGAGCCACCGGTGCTGTCTATGTGGTTTTTTTTTTTAGACAGCCTCCCTAGCTTTCCACTGAGAGTCGGGTATGGGAGCATCTCTACAGCAGCGTTGAATGTAATTTTGAGAAACATGGATTGTATGTTTTGACTTTTATTTTATGAATACTCCGGAGAGCTAAACAGTGCCTTCCCCACCACAATCCATGTTGGAAGATGCTCGGCCTTCCTGTCTCGGCTCTCCCGCCTCTTCCTCCCCACCCCACCCCCCCCACGCAGTTGATTCATTTATGCAATACTGTTTCCAACTTGAAACCATTTTGTCACATCTGTTGGAGAGATAATCACTCCTCTTCCTTAACATTCTGCTAGCTTTCTGTTGTTGAAGTGTTTCAGTTGATTACCTGATGCAAAAGCTATAAAATAAACACTCAGTGGGAAGGGGAAAAATGGTTTGGTGTCCTGTTTTAGTATTTTCTTCCGTAGCCTTGACACTGATGGACGTTTTCCAAGTGGACTCGGTGTTGGATGTCTCAGCTATCACCGCCTCAAGAAACGTATGCATCATCATTGGTCTGTAATGATTTTCTGGCTTATTTGTGACATGCAGACAGACATGCCCCTGCCGCTTTTTTGCTTGGTACTTCATCATTAGTATTGAAATTTCAGATAGAAAATGTACAAGGTATACTTAATACATACACTTAATTGGAAGAATAAAGGAAATAAGGGCTATCTTCTTAGAATAAGAAGGAGGTGTGTGTGTGTGTGGGGGGGGTAATCTGATTAACATTTATACGCAGTGCAGACATGCCCATGATGCTTTTTCAGAATATACATTTTTAATCATTGTTTTTTCACCCTTAAAGGAGGAACTCTCAGTTGTGTAGATTGCCAATTTCCAGCCACTGGCTCATTGTTCTGAGCAAGTAATTGCTTCTTTTTGTATTATGTAGTCTTGTGGTGAATAACATACCAGTTCACTGAAAAGATTGGAAACAGAATTTGGTCTGTACATGGTATGAGAGTCAGAAGGGCCTCCATTTATGGTGTGACATTAGTAAATGGGGAGAACAGTACTGTGAAGTGCAGGTTGGACCTCGTGGATATGAACTGCTGGCCCGGGGCAGACTAATAACTACTAGCTCTTCTATGCTCTCTTAGAATATTGTTAGGAAGCTGGCCTGCCCTTCTGACCCTGCGGAGCGCTAGTTGTGTCACTTTATAGAAGATCTTATAGATTTTTTTTAAGATTTTATTTATTCATGAGAGACACAGAGAGAGAGGCAGAGACACAGGCAGAGGGAGAAGCAGGCTCCATGCAGGGAGCTCAATGCGGGACTTGATCCCGGGTCTCTAGGATCACGCCCTGGGCCCAAGGCAGGCACTCAACTGCTGAGCCACCCAGGGGTCCCATAAATATTTTCAAATGCCACTGAATTTTATTTTTTACTGACAAGTTATTATTGTAATGCCTCCTGTGCGCCCATAACATATTCTTGGTTCTGATACCTGCTCTTGTCTCCAACTACAAATTTCCTATGAGAAAAGTGTGAGGTGGGAGGTGCTAATTGTGCTGAAGGAGGCTGGACTTGCATATTCCAGAAGTGACTGTGCCCACATACTCTATTTGAACAGTGTGGACTGCCAAGAAGTACTTGTGTAAAGCTGAGGATGCCTGGACTAAAACGGTTTGCCCTCTTTCAACATAAAAACCAACAACAAACAAACCTATACTCTATTTAAGAAAAGAAAACATTTGCCTTAGACTTACGAATCAGGTGATCATGTTAGATTTCCAGTGTTTAGGACATCTGAAGAACAAATTTAATGCCCAGTGATTGTTGCCTAAACCTTCACGTACTCTCATCATCCTTACCTTTTTTAAAAAAATAGAATTAAGCTAGTGAGCTTTCTTTATTTTTTAAGTAATCTTTACACCCAGCATGGGGCTCGAACTCATGACCCCTAGGCCAAGAGTTGCATGCTCTGCCGACTGAGCCAGGCACCCTGTCACTACCTGTTTTTTAAAGCAGCAGTTCAGCTTCTGGAACTTTCCCCCAGTAACACGTACAGAAATGCACATGCCAAGTCATTGTCCCTGGGTTTTCTTTCTCTGAAGGCATCTCCCCACCACTGCCTGACCTTGTCTTCTCCATGCCCTGTCTCACCTTTGTTACCACAGAGCACAGGTGTGTCACCATGCAACCAAATCATAACAGCACCAAAAACAAAATTCAAAATGCAAGTCTTCCCCCTTTCTACTCCAGGAATGAGCAAACAAGGAAAAATTTATAAAGGCTATTCTCTTTGTGATTTGCTATATTTCTTCTAGTAGCATGAAACTAAATACAAGCTTTAAAAATATTCCAAGGACGTATATAAGGTACAGTGGACTTCTAGATAATAATGAATGTAAATACCACTCAAGGAGTAACAACAGGAAAAAAGTTGAGTTTGTCATTGCTGCCACCTTTTATTCGTGTCATTTTATAAGAGAGAATAAAGTCCCTTGAATAGATGATTTTTTTGGTTTGAAAACGATGACTGTGGGAAATCACGAGAAGACCACCGCTAAGAGCTGACTAGTGGTGATTCCTTTACTTCCAGCTTTGGGTCCTGTGTGTATTCAAAACCACATGACCATTTTGGTGAGATCATCATACCCCTTTCTGAAAAACTTGATATCCTTGCTATTCACCTTGAAAACAGCTCTCCGCCTTCACCTGATCTCCCCTCTTCCTGTAGGATTCAGTGCCCCCTCCCTGTCCCCAGGGCCCTTCACCAGGCACCACGTTGCTTCTGCAGACCCTCAGAGCTGGACTGCTCACAGTCACCTTAGAAAGACTCAGTTACAAAATAGAGAGTCCCACGATAGGCTGCGAAAGAGAGGCAGTTTCACGGGAGTTAGAAAATGGGCCCTGGAGCACCACCGCTCACGAGCATCAACCTCTGAGACCCAGTTTCTTCATCTGTAAAATGGACAGTTAGTTCGAGGATTGAGATAATGTGCGTGTAAACTTGGTACTTAGTTCCTGCTACATAGTGAGCACTGAAGAAGTGCTAACGTGCTCTTCTGTGGTGGAGGTGAAAGAGAAAGATGAGGAATCATTTATTCAGACATCTGTGTTGAGGTGTACGTGCGCTCAGTCATCCATGAGCGGGCGCCGGGCCTGAGGAATGTGAAAGGTGGGCACGAGGCATTGAGAAGAAAGGCCAAGAAGAAATGCAGAGCATTGAGCAAAAATCTCTTTCTTACCTTCCTGGTAAACCACCTATTTTGTTATTGTTAAAAGAGTCTTGGGGCACCTGGGTGGCTCAGTCGGTTAAGCGTCTGCCTTCAGCTCGGGTTGTGATCCCAGGGTCCTGGGTTCGAGCCCCAGCCACATCGGGTGCCCTGCTCAGCGGGGAGTCTGCTTCTCCCTCTGCCTATGGGCTCTCTCTTACTCTGGCTCTCAAACAAAATCTTTAAAATATATATATATATTCTTAACCCCCCTTTCAGACCTTTGAATTTAATACACCTAACAGCTCATCTCTTAGTTTTGACCTTGAAATAGCAGCAGCACCAAGGCAATCAAGTTCTAGATGCCGAGGACTCATTAGCTGGCTCAAAAATGTAAACCTCCATATTCATCCATATGATGATAGGCTTAATTTCCTGACAAATGAGTCTGTCCTCCTACTTCTCTAGACACCTAATTGGGTTCGTAGGTTAGAAGGATAAGGTTTCACTGTGAGAGGCGTTGCTAACATTCAGAGGTAAGTTTTAACACCTTTCAATTCCAAAGTCAGTAAAACAAGGAGAAACACAAAGCAATATCCCTAGTCCCAATCTTATCTTTGGTTGTGTTCTCAGAATTCAGTGTAAACTGGTTGTTTGAAACCCATGTGGAACCAGTATACATGTGGACCCAATGCACAGAAGTGGGTGTAATCCGAACATTCAAGGATTTATCCCTCCCTTTGGGGAGAGGAAGCTAAGGGCTCTGTCCTTCCTGTTTTTCTGCTGTTTCCCCCAAGAAGATGTTTTTACTATTGAATCCTAAAGCTAAGCAGTTTATATTTTAACCAGTGGGTGATGGGGGTTGTAAGTAGAGGCTTGTCATGTTAGAGTTTTTGAAAGCTACTTGCCACAGTCGTAGAGAATGGTCTCCCCGGCCGGAAGGGGGGACACGGAAACCCCCGAGGAGGTTTCTGCAGGTTGTCCGGGGGATCGGTTGTATCTCAGGGTCAGAAAAGCCACCGTTTGGTGACAGATGGGAAGTGAGCAGTGAATGGAGAGTGGGAAGCAGTATTGGGGTTTGACAAACCCTACGTCTGTACAAATGTTCAACATCTCTTGCCTTTGCCCCAGTTCTGCGATGATGGCTATTTTCCAAGCGCAAGTTTATAAAACAGGCTAGTGTTTGCCCAAACACTAGG